AAACTATATGTTCTGGATTCTTCTGTGTATCTTCTTTATTTGTCATGTTAGTTGAAAGAACTGACTGACCTACTGTCTTCTTATCAGCCAACTGGTAGGCCAATACAAGTTGAAACCGGTTTTGGTGAGCGCCAACCCTCCATTGACACCCGGCCCCCTCGTCTTCGTGATTCTGATGCAATCATTGAGGTGAGTTTTCTTCTTGTTTCTGATATTCTTGACTCTGTCAAACATTCCAAACACATGTAATTTGATCATAACTGGGATTTTCTTGGCAAGCAGATTCAACTGCAGGGCTCACTAGAAGATGATTCATCCTCAGGAAATGATGCTGGAGATGGGGAGAATCCAGGAGGCAACAACAGAGGTAGTCGGGTGCCTGATGACCATGAGGTGACAGCGCCAAAAGCAGAAGACGATTTTGATGATCTCTTGCATGCTCATCCCAATATAAAAGGTGCAAGAAAGGCTCCGTATGGCGATAAGGACACTGATAGAGATGGACTTCGTGCCTCTCAATCTGACACACCTAGTCGATATCGTCCCAGTTCTAGGGGCCATGCTCCTATCTATCCTGGTGGAGATGTGGGCACTTCTTATGAGGAGAGGTACGTGGAATACTCGAGACGCTGCAACCTTCTAAAAAGCCACATCCACTGTTCTCTACGGGTAGATAGCTTTTCAGTAGAGATGACCAAAGTTTGGTCAATTCCAAAAATCTATGGATGTTACCATACCTTGCATACTTGATACTTTCAATGATGTTGAAATCCCAATTTATACTTCAAATTTTGCTATTCAAGGGAGAAATACCTTGTTCGATCTTACCACCAATTTGAGTTTCTGTGAAATCATTCAATTGAATGAAAAAGATCCTCATTACAATTTTACTTTCCATTTACGATTGAATGGTTATATATAAGAATCATACCTTTATACGTAAACTGTGATTCCGACAAGATACCTCATGTGCAGCATTGAGATGACAAATAGAGGATGAAGGATGGTATCATTTTCACCTGTTTGATTTTTCTATGTCTACGTTGGCTGCGATGTGTTATAATGCCATTATTATGTTGATGGAAGCTCTTCTTGTGAAATTTGCCACGATTTTTACCTTTTAAGTGGACCTAATTTCCTTCTGAACTTCCACTGTCACAGGCGGAAACAAAGAACGGATGATAGATCCCCTCTTTTGACTTCTACTAGAAGTGCAGACGAAGAGTCGGTTGAAAGCATGGGTGGCGATGGCAGGCATAGTAGTCAGCAGTTATCGTCTCCCATCAATGGCAGGGATGTAAGAGCGTTGAGCATTGAGGACAAGGATGCTGATGATGGTGTGGGTGTGGGTGACTTCTTACCGGCTGCAGGAAGCCCTGGAATAGCTAACGATGAAAGTAGGCCAAATGACGTTGTTAAAGATAGAAGTAAATATCATTCCAAAAAGAAACAGAGAGTGGAGCGTGCCTCTAGTGAGATACCACTCCAAGAAGCCGATGCTCGGGAGGAGGACTCGAAAGCTGCTAGGAGCAGTGAAAACAGTAAAGCAAAGTCCAGTGGTAGTAGCAAAGACTATCATCAGAAATGGCAGGATGGTGTTGACGAGGAAGTTGCTCAAGGTGGCGGGAGATCTACATCTACACGGTCTGGCAGCATCAGGAGGCATCCTAAAGACATGGATGGAAGACAAGATAAAGAAAGAAGTCGTGCTTTGAGTAAAAGCAGGGAAGGGTCCTATACTCGTCGAGACTTGGATCCTAGCATTGTAGACCATCACTTGCAGTCCAAAGGCGAGGGCTATGATCGTAGAAAGGATCGAGATAATCTCGATGGAGCATGGCAACAACGGAGAGAGGAAGACTCGAGTCTTCATAGCAGGAAGACTAAACCCGAAGAGATGAAGAAAAGGGAACATGGAGATGAAATGGGATCATCCAGGCACAAGAAGGTTCGAGAAACTGAGAGGAGTGAGAAAGATGAGCATTTGATCTCGAGGAAGCAACTGGATAACGGCAACTACAGAGCTCATTATGATACTAAGGATGGCGGCGGGACTAGGCACAGAGGAAGAGAAAATACTGTGAAGCATAGATATGAAATTCCGGAGGATTACAATAGCAAACGAAGGAAGGATGAGGAATACATAAGAGAAGAGATGCTGCATGCCCACAGGGAAAGCAGTAGTAGCCATAGAAGAAGGGAGAGAGATGATCAGCAGAGAATCCCCCGGGATTCCATTGAAGATTACCATTCATCTAGTAGGCATAATAAGGATGAGGCATGGCTCTCACGAGAGAGGAGTGATAGACCGAGGGAAAGAGAAGAGTTATTGTATAGACCAAAACAATCTACCCACGAAGAGCATTTTTCAAAAAGAGAGAGGGATGATGGGGGGCGAGGTTCTGTTACTGTGAGGAGTGGCCGGGGGAGTGATGAGAAAGCATGGATTGGCAATGCTCGAGGGAAAGACGAGTACTTTGCTAAAGATGCTGTTCGGAATAGTGAACAGTCAAAGAAGAGGGAACGAGTGGAAGATGTACGAGGAGGAAACCAAGTTAATAATAAGGACAGAAGATCATCGAGGCATGAGAAGGAGAAGTCGAGTGCTCGAACAGAACGTGCTGTTGATAATCCTGATACAAAGAGATCATCAGACAAAAAGCTTAAAGAAGGGATCAGGAAGCTCAAGGAACCGGAGGGTGGAGATCACGGGTCACTGGGATCTTCCATGAGAAACCGAGAAGACAAGACTAGTCAAGCTAATAACTCGGTATGTATTAAATGAGACGCATATGCGTGGAATGCATTAAATGGCTGTTTGCAGTATAGTCAAAATCCCAAATCAAAACTTTCAAGCTTACACTTTTACCAGTTTACTCAATCAAATATAATATGAGTTCATTATCAAAAAAATATAATATGAGTCATGCAAAAGCTACCTATCATAGAATCTTATGTTCTTACTAACGAATGAATGAACTTGGTGGAATCGTGGTATGATCGATTCCATGTAAGATACTACCTTGATATGATGATTGAAAGGATCCTGCATGATAGAGGTTTTTTAATAAGGATAACATCATACGAACTTTATATTGGAAAAAGGGATGTATTTGGTAAACTCTATAGGATGCTATTGCTAACTGTGATTCTTTTATGAGTTTTATGTATCTCAAATCTACTGTTCGAAGTTGCTATTATTTTACACAAGTTCTCGATTCGGAGGAAAATATATTGTTTGATGTTTTGGCAATAGCAAGTTGTTTTAATCTCTGCAGAATGACAAGATCAAACCATTAACTATTTTCCATGATCGGTAGAATCTATAGTGTGACTGGTTGTTGGTTTTGTTTAGGAGGTGAATGGTGGCAATGATCACCAAAATGAGAACAATCAGAATCCAGTGCAACAGAACTCCTCAAAAAGAAATAAAGAAGATGCATCATCAGATGAGGAACAACGGGACTCTAAAAAGGGACGCTCGAAACTGGAACGATGGGCAAGTCACAAAGAGAAGGAGTTCAACACGAACAACAAGTCTGCACCATCTGCGAAATCAAAAAACGGAGATAGGAACGACAATGGCTTGCCCTCTGAGAGAGTTCAGTCCGTCGAAAAGCAGCACGCAGTCGTGGAAGATAAGGATGGCGGCGGCGAGAATACAGAGAACAAAGATGGAGACAAGAAGCAGTTAGACGACCGCCACCTGGAAACAGTCGAGAAGTTGAAGAAAAGGAGTGAGCGGTTCAAGCTCCCTCTGCCTGTTGAAAAAGATGGGTCGACAGGCGTAAAAATAGAGACCCCTGAGGCAGTGCCGCCAGTGCCTCCAGTTAATAAAATCGAGCCGGTTGCTGATGCAGAGGTCAAACCTGAGCGTCCTGCTCGGAGAAGAAGGTGGGTAGGGAACTAGATTCGGCGATAAGTCTTGGATGCCTGCTCTTCTTTGAGCGCCGTCTCTTCCCATGTTTAGCAGCTTGATTGCGTTAAAGGCTTCACCGAGCTCAGGATGCCCTCATAGAAGGAAGGCGACGATCTTGTAACATCTGTTTGCTTTAGCTTATGAAGTTATTGCTATATATGTGCATACTGATAGATGTAACCCTAAAACACCCAGCTCCTGCTGCTGCTGCTGCCATTGTTGGCACAAGAACGGAAAACCCTAGTTTTTTTCTTTGTTTTCAGACAATTCATATGTGTTCTTCCCTCATCTTCGAAGTCGGCCTTCATTCTGGATGTGCAGATGGCTGGGTGTTGAAGACTATCGTCACCTTTGCTTCATGCTGAGAGGCTGGAATCTCCCTGTCAATGGCTGTTCAGAAGCCAGAAGGCGTTGGATCAAATCCAACAATGTACCAACTGTATTAGAGATTGATGTAATTCTTCAGGCGTTCAATTTTGTTTGTCTATTGAGTTATTCTAGTAAGGCAGTTAGCAGGAAACCCCACATAACTTGCATCTGTATCTTAGCAACGAGTTTTCACTGTAATATATACAAAAGAAATCCGGTTACTTTGCCCCCATAATCGTTGGTTAGTACCAGGTTACCAGTTAGTTAAAATATTTTAACCAATGTGAAAGTAGAACTGCGTTTATGCACTTATTACGATTCTGAATCTGGATGGCTTGTTACGATACTCATAGGGTCAGTAACGTTGAACTTCCAGCGTAACAATGGTGGATAGTAGAGATATATTGTAGTGTTTCATATCTCTATTGGTGGATGAAATGTTCAGTACTTCTCTTCTGATAGCGAATTCCCGTTGATTTTCTTATCACTGTTACAGATTTCGGAAAAGGGTGGAAGTCTCTTGGCCATAAAGTTCCAATCTTTCAATTCAACAACCCTCCAAATGTCCTTGGATCACTTTGTCATAAGTTCGATTTAGTTAGGGCTAAACCGTGTTGGAATATTAGTAAAGGAATTCCCTTGTCATCTTTGCATAATAATAAGGTCTTCGTTTGTACGAAGACTGTATGACGTCTCTGATTCTCGGATTCTGAATGACTGACGTGAAAAACTCTTTTCGTTCCATTGAAAAAAAAAAAACGAGAAAAAACAAAACAAGTTAGAAGAAACCCAGAGGAAAGAATAGATCTTCAGGCTATTTACTAATTGGATCTCAGTTCCCTGAGAAAGACCTCTATGATAGATCTCAAAACCAGAGGAGAAGAACTATCCAAACCCAAATTTGAAATCGAGAATTACCAACACTTTGCCAAAGGGGAATTCGGAAAATGGAGAGACGATCTTGGACTTGTACGCTCGTCACGCAGCTCTGCCTCTGCGTTGCTCTGTATCTCGCCTTCAACATCGGAGAGCCCCAGCAGCAGCAGCCATGGCGTCGCCTCCCCCGTCACGATCTCGTCTTCGTAACCGTGCGAGGCGGGGCAAGACCTGTTCGCGCGCAGACCCATCTTCTCAAGCAGGTGAATTTTCTCCCCTTTTTGGTTTCTGTTTTCCAGGTTCAATCAATGTGCGGTTGGAGCAATTCGTGGGTGGTTTCTTTTTTTCTTTCTGCATCATTCCTTGCCGATTTCCAATGGGGTCAACCCTTTTGGTTGACGGGTAGTCAATGGTTTCAAGTTTTGCATCCATGTCGAGTATGGTTTTGATGGGAATTTTCATTGCAGATTGAGAATGTTGCGAGGATTTATGGCGCGAGGTTTGTGGTGAATATCAGCGAGTTAGGGGAAGAAGAAGATCCACTGTCTCGTAATGTAAATTTCCTCCCTCTTCCCCCTTTCCCGCTCATTTTGACTCTTTCGATTCAATAGTCCTATTTGGCCGGATACTCAGTGCTGGGATTGGAATTTGTCAACATGGGTTTGGAGAGGAAAGTTAGTTGAAATTGAAAAGCAGTTGAAACCCGGAAGAAGAAGAAGAAATGGGAAATTGTTTGTTAAAATTGCTGCATAGGGTTATCGGCAATTCGTATTGCGAAAATGAGGAGGAATTCCCATGAACATGGATGGACTAATCAAAATAGCTCGTGTCCATGTACTGACAATCATCGGGTTACTGCATTCTTCTTTGATTCGTTTGAGTTGAGTCTCGTCTTTCATTAAACCAGGCTTAGCTCTAATTCATGTATATCTTGCAGGCAAGTCAGCTCTTGAAATCACCTAGCATCCCCTGGTATAGTGAAACGTTTGCTTCTTTCTTTCTACGAGGAACTCTTATAACTTTTTTCTTGGGGAGATGATTGCATTCTTCCACTTTGGAAACTGGTGATGAGAATTCCAATTGCTTGTATAGGTACACAACCAAAGCTTCAAAGGGGCAGGAAATGGACAGTTGCTTCAAGGAACATGTAGAAATTGATAACGGACCGACTTTGAACATTGTTGGTTTGGATACTGGTTCATTACAGGTACTAACTGACTGCCAAAAGTTGTGGCTTTCTGATGTTATAGCTGCGGATATGATGTTTTTGAAGTTGTGTTTTTATTTATTTATATCTTCTTAGTTCTTAACTTTGGCCTTCCTTTAAGGATCTACTGCTTACAGAATCAATAAATGGCTCAGGCTCAGTTCAGAATTGGCTGGGGAGAACCCTGGGAGCTGCTTCTGGTAACTGGTAACATTTTTTCTGTTGGGTTTTCTTGATATCCATGAACTGTAGCTATGTGGGTTGGAAGGTCGCGTCTGATCCACACCAACCTTTCCAAGTCCAGGTCTGTAGTCGTTGGATTTCACCCGATCATTCATTGTGAAGATGAGAAAGGGCAACAATTTGAATCAAACCGAGCTTCTGAAACACTGGTTCACCAGAACTTTGTGAAGTTTGGAGTGGTAAGAAATCCAAAACCCGTCAGCTGCCTAGTTTCTCCCCAGAATTCCATGATCACATTTGATCATCTGCTCATTCTCATTTCTCTAGAATGCTTACTTGAGCACCAATGGCCGCTGCTCCAACCATAACTCCCGAGATGGCGTGGATTACATTGGAATCGCAAGGACTCACGATCACAGTGATGAATCTGTTGTCCCTAATAGGAAGTTGGGTCTAGGTTTGGATTTGCAGCAGCAAAAGTATGCATCTTTCCCTCAACCTTCTGTTTCTTTTTATTCTTTTCATTAACATTCTGGTTTCTTATTGTCTTCTGTTGTTGGCTTTCTGCAGAGGAATGACTGATACGTTCCTTCTCCACAGAGTTACCTCTCTAGAAATGGTATGCAGCTCTCTAGGTCTCGTCTCCGAAACAGAAGTCTCGTCCCTAATCCGGTTTCTTTGTTTCTTCCAATGGCAGATTACGTATTCCATTAGCTCAGCAGGGAAGGTCCTGAACAGAGTTGTGACCCAACAGAAGGGCAAGGCTGCCATTTGACGCCTTACCTTCTAAACAAAGAGGTCATGCTACTATTCATTCAAAGGTGTGACTGATGTACAAGCAAGACACTTCACACCGCAAACACTCCGTCAACATGCAACACTCAGGCCAACGTTAACATACCTACTCGATTCAACTCGAGACCAAATAGGTCGAGGTTTCCGATTTGACGCTTATTTTCGCTCATTAGGCGGTCTTCGTGATGTTGTATCAAGGAAATTCGACACATGCTAACTCAGGTGAATTGATGCCACATTAGAGATGGCTATTCGTTGCAAACATGATTTAGTTAGCATTTCAAAGAAGCTATAGTATGGTGACCACTTATCACAAACCTAATAGTTCAGTGTCCTTTTACACATTTCACCCACACCCAGCACTCGAAAGGGCAAAATAGGAAAATCGCAACAGCTATAAATACACAGAGCCGAGCCTCGGACTGAGCTCCGGGTGCTCGCATGGAAGAGAGAAAAGAAGAATGATGGTTTCGGGCCTTTCGGCCTCGAGAGAGATTCTCTCTCTCCCCGTCGGAGCCGATGATTTCTCCGGTTGCCGATTGCTCTGTGTTTGCTTCTTCTTTGGTCACTGAAACTGGTTTACAGCGTTTGGTTTCTCTTTTTCTTTCTTTTTCTTTTTGGTTCTGCTGCCTTCCGCTTCTGCTCTGCTTCTCGATCTCGTTACCTTCCATGTATGTATATATATGTAATCCATGGCGCCTCTCTCTCTCTTTATCTCTCTCGATCTCTCTCTCTCAACACGAGGCAATGACGATGACACGAATCGATTTTCTCTCTTCCGCGAGCTTCCGGTTCGGGATCGGCGAGAGCCGTCTGTTTCGCGGCTGGGCGACGGCGGATGGTCGGGCTTCCGCCGGCAACCGGTCGTCGCAGCCATGGACGGCGGAGCTTCCCGCTTCCGATCACAAATTTGCATCTGAGCCACCGTCCCTGAGAAGAACCCACGGTGCTTGATCTCTTCGATTTTGCCGCGTTTCGGTAAACTACCGAAATTGCCCACGGGTTTGCATCGGAGATGCCTTATCTTCCGAGGGCATTACTGGAATTTGTGGTAGACACAATGGCAGTATAAAATGCCTGCTCGCTGTAGATCTGGGAGAGCAATCTCTCTCTCAATCGGAATGAGGCTCTGCTCTCGGAGCCGATGATTTCTCCCGCCGGTGACCGGCAGGTCGGTAAATAAACAAGTCCCTAACAACAGTGAGGAGCGGATCTGGTCCGCTCTTTCCCCGTCGTCGTCGTCATCATCATCCTCATCACCATCGTCGTTGTTCCAAACGGAACTGCTCCCTTCCTTTTTCCCTCTCTCGATTCTCCCAACTTCTGTTGTTACTTACTACTACTACACTTCCAGCTTCCTCTTCTCCTCTTCTCGTAACATTGGCTGTGATGAGATTTCTCCCGACATTGTTTCAGATGGCGTGGATGTTCTCAGCGGCTGTTTGGCACGGCGATCTATCGCAGCCATGGCCGCCGAGATCTTCCTCTCCTTTCTCTGGACCACAGTGGCGGATCTGAGCCTCTTCTGGTGATTCTCGGTTGCACTCCATTACATTAAAAGTTTCCAATTTTAGTTTCCAAGTCCTGATTTTCAGATAATTTGGGTCATTAATTATACAATTTGTTTGCATGCTTTGCTCAGATTGTTGAGTAGAGGGACATGCAGCTATGCGATTGTGAATGCTGTAGCTTCTAAGGCCTTGCGTTCTCTTTCTGCTGTGTTAGCTGCCGCAAAATTTTCATGGTCAGGAACTCATGCGATGGCTCATATTTGGGCAGGGTCTTTGGATCACAAGTTAATGTCTCCGTACCAAAATAGTCCGAAATCTGCGAGCTTTAGGCTGCCCTGGTTGTGTTTCGACAGCTTCGATGTCGCGATGAAGCACTTGATTTACGGGACAGTAATGTAGGCCGGTCAAGAGCTACCTCAGGTAGCAGCAGTTTAGCCGTCCGATGGCTGTTTGTCACGGCGACCTAGTTGCATAAGCTTTCACTGTTTTGCAGCCATGGCCGTGGCAGATCTTCCTTTCCTTATCTTGGCTACAATGGTGGATCTGAGCCTCTACTTATTTGTCACTGCTCACTAGCTAACAGTCTTCAATTTAAGTTTACAGTACAGGTTGTGATTTGTGAATGCTGCAGCTTCTGATGCTTGGCATGTTCTTATTCATATTGTATTCGCTGCTGCGGTTTTTCCTTGGTCAGGAACTCATGCGGCGGCTCATGTTTAGGCAGAGGCTTTGGATAACAACGCAATGGGTGCATCCAGAAGTACTCTGCGCAGTCTGCATCAAGTGCGCAGCAGAGATTGTCCGAGAAGGATCGAGAGTCGGCATCTAGTCTAGCAACTCCGAACTATGGCCATCTAGAAGACCGAAAGCTCCTCATCAAGTTGTCCCTTCATCGGCCTGACTTGTTATATAGCAAGTGAATGAGTGATGCTCAAGCTAGCTCCCGAGGTTTATACCATAATGTAACATAGCCATAAGTATGGCTAGCATTACTGCGAGCTTTAGGTTGAAAGCTCGCCCTCGTGATATCCCGATGAAGTAATGTAGTCTGGTCAAGAGCTTTCTCATGTAACACTTCATATGAAGAACTGCATAAATCATATTGACAATCAGATAAGACTATTTACTTCCGCTGTAAGCAACCATGAATACGAAGCTAATAAACCAAACGGTTGACGATGGTATATGTGGGCTTTTTATCGCCCCTTAGTGGGGCCTAAAATCTCTTAATGGGCTTAGAAAGAACGTGGGCTGATATCGTGTTGCAATAAACTAAGCTCCTGGCCCAATATGAGCCCGATAAGGAGCTGCAACAGCGGCGGGATCGGTTAGTATAACAACACCCTTTGTGTTGTTATTGTAACAACACTAGTCTCCAACCAATAGGAAGCTAGGATTGTGATGACTTTTTATTAGATGAGTTGACCTAGTGTAAAATCAAAGCAGGGGTATAATTGTCATTATGAAAAATCTGTTTAAATAATAAAAAAAAAATAAAAAAAAATAAAAAAATTTTTTTTTTTAATTTTTTCGGCCCAAAAATCTGGTCACCGGAATTCGGTCACCGGTCGCCGGAAAATGGTCACCGGTCACCGGAATATGCTTTTTTGTCGCCGGAATATGCTATTTTGTCATCGGAATATGTCACCGTCGCCGGAATATGCTCACCGTGGTCGGAATATGCTTACCGGCGTCGGAATCTAGTCATCGGGGCCGGAATATGCCTATCGGCGCCGGAATCTGGTAACTGACGGTCATCGGAGTTTGGTCAACGATTTTCGTTGACCGGTCAACGGTTTTCGTTGACCGGTCAACGGTCAACGACCACCGGATGTTTGGTCCACATTGTGAGATTTATGGTTTGGTTTCTCATATTTTCGTATGCCTTTTGTGGTTTGCTTTATCGTGTTTGTGGTTTGCATTGAGAAGTTTATGGTTTGTTTTATCGTGTTTGTGGTTTACATTGAGAAGTTTCTGGTTTGCTTTCAAAAACTTTGTGGTTTGCTTTGTGAGGTTTTTGGTTTGTTTTAATATATTTGTGGTCTGCATTAGGACGTTTCTGGTTTGTTTTTGTGGTTTGCTTTATCGTGTTTGCGGTTTTCATTAGAAGGTTTCTGGTGTGTTTTCGCAAATGTTCTGGTTTGCTTTGTGAGGTTTGTGGTTTGTTTTAGAGGATGTGTGGTTTGCATTAGGAGGGTTTTTGTATGTTTTTTGTGGTTTGTTTTACCGTGTTTGTGGTTTGTATTATATACTTTCTGGTGTTGTTTAAAAATATTTGTGGTTTGCTTTGTCGTGTTTCTGGTATGTTTCAAAACATTTATGGTTTGCATTAAGAGATTTCTGTTATGTTTTTTGTGGTTTGTTTTATAGTGTTCCTGATCTATTTCAAACAAAAGCTAAGAGAATGAATTAGTCATACATGCTCAGAGGTAATCCAAATAGTTCAGCAAATCTAATTAAATGTCAACTGACAAAGCCATAAGTCCATGTCTGACCCAAACTTTTTTCTCCATAATCAAAATCCAATCTTAATCTATTGAAAATAACCCACCGTGATCCATGGCCCATAGCCCACCCAATCCTCCGGTAAAATCCTAATCTTCTCGCACCCTCCCTAATCCCTAGCCACTTATGCTTCTCACCTTTTCTCATTTCTCTCTGTCTCACATCCAACCAAATTCAGAACAAAGATAGGAAAATTGTTATCGTCTTCCTTCTCCATCTATTATCTGCTTTTCACTACTCTCAATCAGCTCCCTCTCATTTTCTGGGAGTTTTCAACCGGAGAAGATAGGGGACAATGAGCAAGAGCCTTACAGTGCCGATGGGGTTCCGCGCTACCTCCATCAGCACATTGACGACATCGAGAGCACCTTCATCGGGCTGTGGAACGGCGACGAGCAAAAGTCATGGGAGTCGAAGCACGAGGTTGGCATCCACGAGCTGTTGGATCTGAGGAAGTATGCGATTGTGACCGGCGACGGGAGGAGCTTGAGAAAGGCGTAGGTGGAAGTCTCGTTTGGAGGGATTGATCGCCGCCGGAACAGAGAAGGAAAGAGAGGACTTGCGACACCGACGGTGGAAGAAAGAAGGAACGACGGGAGATGAGGCTGGGGACGGAAGAAATTGAATACGAGATAGAAGCAGCCGACTAGGGTTTGGGATTTATTTATTTATTTTTAATTTGTTATTTCTGTTAATTTACTTATTTGCCCTTAATGAATTTTGTTGTTAGTATAACAACACTAAGGTTGTTGTGATACTATCCGCTCCCAACAGCGGCCAGAGGGGGATTATATAAACACCGAGAGCTGCTAGAGCATCAATCATTCATTAGTTTAAGTATGAGGCTTTGCTCTCAGGGAGAGAGACAGAATCGCCGTCGGAACTTTTCCCGGCGACATGTCGGGAATCTCTCTCTGGTCGCCAGCGAAGCCAGTGATTACTCGCCGCCGGTGCGCGGTTTCTGCCGTCACGTAGTCCGTTTCTTCCAAGGTTGTCAACCCGGTTTAGTTCCCGAATTGGTCACTGAAATTACGTATATGTACATACACACACACAGACAGACAGACATATATATGTTCTTTCTTTCTTTCTTTTCGCTTCATCGACCTTCACTCTTCCTCTCTCTCATTCTCGCCTGAGGCTGTGAGGAACGATTCTATCAGACTTCCTCGGAGACGGAGATAAGCAAAAGCTGGATTCAGTTACCTGGCATGGCGGCTTCTTGGAGGGAGCGTCGGAGTGGGAACTCCTTTTTAGGGTTTCCCCGCCGCCGCCGCCTCCTCTTTTTAGTCTGCAGCCATGGCAGCTGGTGATCGTTGCTTCTCTGTTTCGGGTTGGTTCTTAATGTCTGATTAAAGGCGAATCTGAGCCTCTTAGTTCGTAGTTTCTCTTTTTCTGGCGATGATTTTGTAATGAGCTGTGTTGAAGAATTTTATGAATGTTGATGAGTTGCATGTGCTCGATTTTCAGCCTAGAACCGTATCTAGGGTTCTTAGATTGTGAGAAATGAATGGCGGAGATGGTGTATTAGTATTAGTGTGTAAAATGGTCTAGGTTGTAGAATGAAATGTGATAAATTGCAATCTATACAGATATAAAGTTGGAATCACGATTGCTTAGTTCTGGCTGGGAGTTAGATGGGGAAGAAGCCGTTGAATAAGCTTAGCAACGCCATAGCTGCGAATGGAAGACCGGAAATGGGCACAAGCAGATGAATCTGGAAGAGGAGCTCCTTTAGAGTTTTCTTGAACTTTGCTCACTGCAGGTAATGGCGGGTCAGCGATGTCTTTAACAGCTAGAAGCTGGTTTCAGAGGACTCAGGGTTTTCGAGTACTTGGTTAGATTGAGCATTTGACCTGGGGAGATTGGTAAGATGGTGTACATGAGATCTCGGCCGTTAAGATCCGAGCATGGGTTTTCTGCAACAGGGGGGAAAAGGTGGAATTCAGATTTTTTATGGTCTTTGGAGGGATGAAAGAAGGCTGGATGAATGAATGAATGAATGCTTAGTTTACTTAAAACATTTGTTTGCAGTTCCTGGATATTCTGTAATGGTACCATTGACTGCCATCATCAGCGTGTAACTGTGTAAGTGGCATCCTTGTTGAAATCAAATGCAAGTGAGAGATATTCATTGTTCAGAGTTGTGACGAGCACAGACAAGTTTGCAGCTCGCAGTGCCTTAACAAAATCGGTTTCCTGCCTGGTGAAGCCATGGCTTGTTGGAATTATAGAGAATCTAGTCAAGGTGACTGCAACTGCATGCTTTTTGATTTCATCTGCTGTAGCCTTTGCTATGTCGCTTACTTCTTCCTTGGCTGTACCCGAGACTGCTGAATCTGGCCAACACTGATGTATCGTCCGATTGTATTAAGACTAGTTCAGTAGTCTGTTGGTCAAATGAGGCTTCATCTAGGGCTGTGCTCACCGTGGTAACAATGTCAAGGCCTTTTTTGAGTTAATTACATGGTTGGTCATTGAGATTAATGGTCGGATCAAGCTCAATGGTCGGATCGAGTCTGGTTAGAGGTTTAGGTTGGTTCAGATGAGCTGGCAGGTCTTAGTGGCGGGTCGGGTCTCACTATTTTCGGGTTAAATAAGGCTGACTAGACGATCCGTCCGTCACATCATCACTTAACGGACTCTATTGATGGAGATGGACGGCGACTAACGGCCAGTGACCAAACGTGAACGGTTTTACTAAACTAAAGGACCATCAATGGATTTAAATATTTCGGATGACCAAACATGAATGTTTTTTATAATCTCAGTGATCAATCATGTAATTATCCCGCCTTTTTTCGATGCAATGTATGGAATGCAAGTTGTTTTTGGGTATTATTAGCAGATGGTTTAGATGAAGGAGAATTACTTACAAATGCCTGGAGCAGATTTTGCCTTGACAAATTGCAGAAATTGATCAAAGGTCATAAATGTTCCCTTGTTATTAGCTGCTGGATTTCTCTCAAGACCATTGTTTTTTCTCGAAAGGGAATGGCAATTGAGCTGAAAAATGAAAACATCCTGACGCGTGACAGCCTCACGCGTCGGGAGGTTGAATTATGAAAACTAAAAGAAACAGAAAATACTAGGGTTTATTATTCTTTGATGATTAAAATGTAAAGGCTAACTACATATTTATAGGAGAGCTCCCATAAACCCCTTCCCCCTAAACAAGGTAACTCAAACCCATTCCAACTCCTATTCGACTTACTTCCTAAACAAGAATAATAGTCCGACAGTAAACGAATAAACAGAGAAAATATAATATAATAATTAATAAACCGACACTACCCCTTTGCGGCCCTAGCCTAGCAAATGCATCAATCCTCCCCCCTTCCGAAAGCCTCGACCCGAGGCTTCAGCTCGGCTCCTTCCTCTCCAGCTGGTTCGGTCCCGAAATCCCCGATCAGGCGATCATGACAAACACATGGTTATTGGCACAACGATGACCATAGGTGAATCGTTCATCACAGTTGTAGCAGAGCCCATCCCTCCTACGTTGTGCAACCTCTTCCGGTGTCAAGTTGCGTATGACTCGTCGAGCGGGCGGTGGTGGTCCTCGCCCGGCCATTGGTAGTGTACCTGGCGCGGCCACGACAACGGTAGTCGGCAGGGAGTTGCCGGATCCCACCCTTGGCGCCGTTGGGGTCCCCCGAGAGGCAGCTCCCTTCGCAGTTTTTTCTACCCGTATCTCTTCTTCTCGTATCTTAGCCAATCGATACGCGTCCCCCGTATTTTGTGGATTAAATGCGCGGATGTAGGCTGAGATTTAAGGCTTCAATCCTCCCATATAGGTGCCCATGATCGATTCCTTCCCCCACCCACGGCAGCGATTGAGCAGTTTCTAAAACGTCTGTTGGTAATCTTCCACGGTCCCCGTTTGCCTAATCTTCGCCAGCGCCTCATGTCCTGCAGCTTTCTCCGAGGCTCCATACCTTTTCCATAACTCCCCATGGAAATCCTCCCACCACATTTCCTTACCACTTTGTTCGAACTCCTCTTCCAACCACATAACCCATTGGTTGGCATCACCTTCTAGGTGGAACGAAGCCAAAGCCACCTTCTGTTCATCAGAAATTTCCTGGTACTTGAAGTACTTCTCCACCCTCGACATGTTGGATCTTCATGACCAGTAAAGCGTTGAAACTCGATAGTAGTCGACCAACCTTTGAAGAGGGCTGCCGCAGCTTCTCCTCTCGCCTCTTATCGCCTGGGCCCACAGCTTCCCGATTCGGCCCACTCGGCTCGCCCCGGTAAGCTCCTCCCTGCTTCCAGGCCTCGCGGTTCGACCCGGTCTCGAACGAACCTCAGCCTCTGGTCCGATCTCCACCCTCCGCGTCCAAGCCCGACCCGCAGCACCCGCCGGACTCCCTCGCCCCATCCTAATCCGATCAGCGAGGTCCCGAGCCGCTAGCCCCCGTCCCTGTTCCTCCGGCGCTTCGACTTGCCGTTCCACCCATGCCTGCCGGTAGTCCCGATGGTGGTGGTGGTGATCGGTAGTCTCCCGTATCCATCGCCAGACTTTCCCACGCGCCGCCCAAGACCTGGAAAGCGTGGTCCTTCGTTTTCAGCAACTCGCCGCCCTGAGCTCCCCTTTTCGGTCTCCTCCAGCATTCCCTTGAGCTTATCGCCTGCCGGGATCAGATCGACAGTCCGCCTAGCCGGCTCGCGGCTCCCCATCCCCGCAATCGTCTCCATGAGCTGCGCAATCGTCGCCCGAAGATCATCGTTGCTCGCCCGGAGCTCGTCCTGGCCGCGGTCGATGCGATCCAATTTCGTGTCGGTCTCGGCTTGCCGTTGCACCAGGGTTTCAACTCGGTCCGAGATTCTGCCCGTATCTCCTCCATGGCAACCTGCAGCGCTGTCTGGCCCCACTCTAGGTTCCCGGTCGTGCGCTAGATCTGCCTGAGCTCCTCCTCCTCAATCGCGCGGATGCGACGATCGAGAGCCTCCGCCCTCGTCCTCATCTCCGCTAGCTCTCGGCTTGCCTGGCCGCCGCCATTGTCGTCGCCAGCATCCTGCGAAGCGGCGGTGTTCTTCTTGGGGGGCATCGTGGTCCCGGTTTTCGTCGAAACCAGGCTCTGATACCAATTGTCGCGTGACAGCCTCACGCGTCGGGAGCTTGAATTACGAAAACTAAAAGAAATTGAAAAGACTAGGGTTTATTCTTCTTTGATGATTAAAACGTAAGGGCTAATTACATATTTATAGGAGAGCTCCCATAAACCCCTTTCTTAGGGGTGGAAATCGGTACGGTATCGGTATCCCAATACCAAATACCGAAATCCCGAATACCGAATTACACCCTAAAGTCAATCCCAATCCCAATCCGTAAATAATTTCGTTATCCCAATCCCAATCCCTAAATATTTTGGTATCCCAATCGGTACTTCGGTATCCCAATCGGTATTATCGAATACGAAATTGATTACCTTTCCAAGTAATAATTAAATATATAAATTAGATTTGATTGTTTAATTTAGGGTAAATAGACTAAGCAAAGAGTCTTGAGTTTGCCTAGATGTAGGATATGAATAAAGAGAATGGAGGAGAGGTGAGATCTCAAATTCTTGTCATTGGTAATCCTTAATTTGACGAATTGGAGGTTGTGAGACGACTAATACTAGTGTTTTTTTTGTGTGTTATTAAAATAACAAAATATTAGGTGAGAAACGAGAGTGACTTAATCTGGAAAGTCAAAATTGTGTTGGATGGGGGCTTTTAAGTTGTGAAAGAGTGCATAATGACTAAAGGTTGTGTGTTATATTTCATTAATTTTTAATTTTTGGTATTTCTTGGTATTTCGGTATATAGCGATCCCAATCCGGTAATCCCGAATACCGAATAGCACTCCAAAATGAATCCCAATCCCAATCCCTAAAAAATAAGTCGGTATTCGGTAATACCAAATAGTGATAAACTCGGTACGGTATTCGGTATATCCCAAATACCGCTACCAAATTTCCAGCCCTACCTTTCCCCCTAAACAAGGTAACCCAAACACATTCCAACTCCTATTCGACTTACTTCCTAAACAAGAATAATAGTCCGACAGTAAACGAATAAACCGAGAAAATATAATATAATAATTAATAAATATAAACCGACACTACCCCTTTGCGGCCCTAGCCGCGCAAATGCATCACATCCATTGTGAGAAGGAAAAGATGAAGGACGATTTCAGCATCACGAAATTGTGGCGGAACCATTGAAGAAAAGTTGTTGATACTTTCTTCAATGGTATGAACAAGCTTTGAGGACGATTTAAGTATCGAGGACTCCAACAAGCTTTGAATGTCATGAATGGTGACGGTGGTTGCAGTAGTATCTACACTGAGGTCGGGAGTCACCGTACAAAAAGCAATCTTTAACCATATGTTTTATAGGTTCATCGAACTGAGGTACTTTACTGCTGTGATAGCTGGGCTTCAGTGCAATGGTCTGTGAGGCGAAATTATCTTTACCAATGGCGTTCATCGTTGTTGGTGGGAAATCGGTAATGAAACCATCGACTTATGGATGAATTGCAGGTGTTCTTCTGTTGGATCATAACTGTAGTGAAAGCTGAGTACATTGTCATTTGCAAAATCCAGAGACATTTTCTTCAGTTTCGTGGTTTTTTCGAGCAGAAATGCGTTGTTCAACTCTCCCACGTTGTTCAAATCCCAACGGTCGACACCATCAAACGTCGTCGGATCATCCCTTCTTTTTTCCAAGACCTGCAGATCAGCAAAACGTCATCGTGTCCACTTACCTATCCGCTGCCGTTTTGCTGCTTCTCTTCCTTCGACCAAGAATGAAGCAAAACGTCATCGTCTCGTCCATCACTCCGCTGCCGTTTTTCTATTTCAATGTATGTCTTTCTTTCGGTTTAAGTCTTGTTGTTGTTTCCATTCCAAGTAATAGGACAGAACACCTTGACAGCTAAAAAGCTTGTCTTGTAGCACCTTGATCTGCACTATATAAGCAGATGTTTGATCAATGAGAAGGACCAAGTGATTCTAGGATTTCCAAACCACATTTGTTGTTATGGTATCAGAGCCCTTTAAACCATAGCCGCCGCAGCAATGGAGGCCCAACCTGCTGATCAAAATGCAGCAGATGATCAACAAAATGAAGAAGTTGCTGCACAGAATGCTTCTCCTCAGCCACAAGCAAACTATGTTCTCGAAGATTCATAATTTCTCCATGGTTCAGAGCAACCAGGTTCTCTGTTGGTGGGAGAGAAACTCAACACCACCAACTACAATGACTGGAGCAGAGCTATGCTCAACGCTCTAGCTGCCAAAAACAAACTCGGTTTCATCAATGGAACCTTGGTCGAGCCAGCTGCCACAGATCCACGAAGGGGTGCTTAGACTCGCAACAATGTCATGATCCTCAGTTGGATCCAGCAATCATTTGAATCTGAGATCCGCAAAACCATTCTCTCAAGCAAATCTGCCTCAGAAGCATGGAAGAGTCTTCAAACACGCTATGGTCAGGTGATATTGTCAGGGTTTCTGAGCTAGAAGAGGCTCTGTCTACCTTGAAGCAAGGTAATCAAACTATCACTGAGTACTATGGCCAAGTTATCACTTACAGAGATGAACTTGAAAACTATCAGCCTTTGATTCCCTGCACTTGTACACCTACCAGTCACATTGATTGCTTAGCTATGCGTCGAGTCTATGAGTATCAGGAAACAGATTATGTGATCAAGTTCTTAAGAGGGTTGAATGAAAATTTCTCTGCTGTGCGGTCTCAAGTGCTGATTGGTGATGAACTTCCAAACATAAACCGTGTTTTTCAAAGGATGTTACAGCATGAGAGGCAAATGTATGGAACCCAAAGAGGCAAAATGGTTGCTTCTGCAACTTCAGACTCTACTGCTCTAGCAGTTCCTGGTACAAATAGGAGACCTAATTCTACCAACAGAAGACCATATTGAACCTATTGTAGGAGAGATGGTCATACTGAAGATACATGCTACCAAAAACATGGGTATCCTCCTGGCATGAACACATCTAGGCCTTCCTCTCAACAGGGCAAGATATCTTAATGCACTTTCTGTAAGAAGCCAGGGCATACAGAAGACAAATGTTTTCACAAACATGGTTTTCCTCATGGTTACATACCTCGAGCTGGTAATTCTGGTGTTGGTAGAGGCAGGCATTCAGCCAATGCAGTCTCTGGGGAGGATGAAGAAGAGGTTAAGTTGACAAAGTCAAATTATGATAGACTTATGAGTCTCATGGCTACTCAGAAATCTCCATCATATTCAGCAGCTTCTTTTGTTACAAACAGAAACACACCAGGTAAATGCCTAATCTCATCACCTACTGTGAATGTTGTTCTGCATGATCAATCCACTTGGATTCTTGACACTGGAGCTTCAGACCACATAGTCTGCACTCTAGATCATCTCACTGATCACAAGCCCTTGACCAATGTTTACATCACATTACCAACTGGTCAACAAATCCAAGCCACTCACATTGGAAAAGCAGTCTGCAATGATCTTCTCATTCTGGAGGATGTTTTATACATACCTCATTTTACCTTCAATCTAGTTTCTGTGAGCAAGTTGACCACCAGAAACTCATTATCCTTGACTTTTTCTTCTAACCTTTGTGTCATACAGGATTTGGAGCAGAGGAGAATGATTGGTTCTGCTAGATTGAGCAATGGTCTCTACTACCTAGAAGCATATACTATACCTAAACACATCACAGCATCCACTTCTGTTCCTTTTGACATTTGGCATTTTCGATTAGGGCATCTGTCTCATTCCAAAATCCCTTACCTCTCCCAATTTTGTACCTCCATTCAAACTCAGAAAGAGCTTCCCTGTGATGTCTGTCACTTTGCTAAGCAAAGGAGACTTCATTTTCCTACAAGTCAGAATGTAACCAGTTTACCTTTTGAACTTTTACATGTAGACATTTGGGGACCAAACCCAGTTCCAAGTTATGATGGTTATAGATATTTCCTCACCATTGTTGATGATTTCACTCGCATGACTTGGATTGTTTTGTTACAATTAAAATCGGAAGCCAGACCTCAACTTATAACATTCTGCAACAGAATGCAAAAACAATTTAACTTTCCTATTAAAAGAATCCGTAGTGATCAAGGGAAGGAATTTCAGATGGAGGACTATTATGATTCCAATGGAATCATTCATGAGATGTCTTGCGTTGAGACTCCTCAACAGAACAGCAAGGTTGAGCGCAAGCATCAACATATTCTTGCAGTTGCAAGAGCACTCAGATTCCAAGCTGATTTGCCAGCTGGTTTTTGGGGTGATTGCATCAAACATGCCATCTACCTCATCAATAGAGTCCCATCTTCTGTCCTAGAAAACCAAACTCCTTACCAAAAACTTCATTCCAAACCTCCTGATCTTACAGACTTGAGGGTTTTTGGTTGATTATGTTTTGCTAGCACCCTTGCAAATCACTGGTCCAAATTCCAACCTAGAGCTAGGAAATGTGTTTTCTTAGGCTATGTGCATGGGATCAAAGGTTACAAGGTCTATGACCTGGTCAACCATGACATATTTGTCTCCAGAGATGTGATTTTTTATGAATCCCATTTCCCTTTTAAAACCCTCAACCTGCATTCTCCTCCTTCACCTTCCAGTGACAACCTTTATCCCTTACCAACAACATCATACCCCATTCTTGATGATCCCCCTTCTTCTCCTCCTCTAACACCAATACCACCTTCTGATCCTCCTTTACCTAATTCCACTCCTCCAGATACCCCTCCTTCTCCTTCCACTACTTCCATGGAACCATCATCACCTCAATCTTCCTCTCCCAATCCAATTCCTTCACCTCCCCCATCCCCAGTTCCCCAACCCATCCCCACCAGAAAATCAGATAGACAATCCAAAAAACCTGCTCACCTTCTTCAGGACTACCATTGTTATCTTTCTCATCAGTCTAGCAAGGCCAATCAATCAACTCTGCCTCAGATTCACAACACAAGGTATGCTCTTTCCACTGTTCTCTCCTATGAAAACCTTGCTCCTCATTACAAATCTTTCATTCTAAACATTTCTTCCTACAAAGAACCAAATACTTATAAAGAAGCATCTCGGTCCCCTCAATGGTCAGCTGCCATGACTCATGAGGTCAAAGCATTGATCAAGAACCAAACATGGGATATTGTTGAGAGACCTATTGGGAAGAAACTGATAGGCAACAAATGGTTTTATAAAATCAAGGTTCTTTCTGATGGTTCTCTAGACAGATTCAGAGCTCGATTAGTGGCAAAGGGTAACACACAACAGGAGGGTGTGGATTACCAGGATACTTTTGCCCCATTTATCAAAATGACAACTGTCAGAACTTTCTTAGCAGTTGCAGCCATGAGGAATTGGCATATACATCAACTAGATGTTAACAATGCCTTTCTTCATGGTGAGCTTGAAGAAGAGGTTTGCACGGCTCTCCCTAAGGGTTACTCTCCACCACCTGGTTTTAAAGACCCTGTTTGTCGTCTAAAGAAGTCTCTCTATGGCTTAAAACAAGCCTCTAGACAGTGGTTCTCCAAACTCACTGATACTCTCATTCAGCAAAGCTATTCTGCTAGTAAGGCTGATCCATCTCTATTTTACAAGGTAACAGATTCATCATATACTTGCATACTGATTTATGTTGATGACTTAGTTCTTGGTGGGAATGATCTGTCTGAAATCCAGCATTTGAAAGACATTCTACATTCACCATTCAGTATCAAGGATATGGGTGTATTGAGATTCTTCTTAGGCATTGAAGTGGCTCGCAACAACAAAGGAATTCATATATCTCAGAGGAAATATACTCTGGAAATCTTACAAGAAGCAGATTTGTTGGATTCAAAGCCTGTCTCTACTCCAATGGACTACAAAATACATCTCAGTGAAGAATGCACAGAACCCTATCCTAATCCAGAGCTTTATCGGACTCTTGTGGGAAAGTTAATCTATTTGACTACTACAAGACCCGACATAAGCTTTGCCACCCAGCAGGTAAGTCAATTCATGGCTAATCCTAGCACAACTCATTACAAAGCAGTTACCAGGATTCTGAGGTATCTGAAGGCCTCTCCTGCATCTGGTTTGTTCTTCCCCTCTCCTGGCACTTTTCACATCAAGGGCTTCTCTGATTCAGACTGGGCCGCCTGTGTTGACACACGCCGATCCATTACTGGTTACTGCATATACCTATGTGATTCTTTGATTTCATGGAAGAGCAAGAAACAACAGACAGTCTCCCGCTCTTCATGTGAAGCAGAGTATCGCACGCTTGCCTTCACCACCTGTGAGCTCCAGTGGTTACTTTATCTCCTCCAAGATTTCCAGATCACTCATCACCAACCAGCTACTCTTTTTTGTGACAATCAGAGCGCAATTTACATTGCGCAGAACCCAGCCTTCCATGAAAGAACGAAACATATCGAGCTCGATTGCCATCTTGTTCGAGAGAAGATTCAGTCTGGCACAGTCAAGCTTCTCCACGTCCGCACCAACCAACAGCTTGCAGACTTGTTCACAAAACCCCTCTCTCCAGCTCCATTTTCTACACTACTCTCCAAGCTTGGTGTGCAGAATCTCTGCCCACCAGCTTGCGGCGGTGTAACAGAGAATGATCTTTGATCATTTTCAAATCCCAACGGTCGACACAATCAAACGTCGCCGGATCATCCCTTCTTTTTCCCAAAACCTGCAGATCAGCAAAACGTCACCGTGTCCACTTACCTATCCGCTGCCGTTTTGCTGCTTCTCTTCCTTCGACCAAGAATGAAGCAAAACGTCATCGTCTCGTCCATCACTCCACTGCCGTTTTGCTATTTCAATGTTTGTCTTTCTTTCGGTTTAAGTCTTGTTGTTGTTTCCATTCCAAGTAATAGGACAGAACACCTTGACAGCTAAGAAGCTTGTCTTGTAGCACCTTGATCTGCACTATATAAGCAGATGTTTGATCAATGAGAAGGACCAAGTGATTCTAGGGTTTCCAAACCACATTTGTTGTTATTAGGGACAGTAATTTTTTCAGTCGACTGTTTGGCTCATCGTGGTTTTTCTGTCCCGTTTGGTTTTCATTTTATTCCTAGCAGTGACCCCGGATGTCTGTTGTTGGTCTTTGTACGACCTCTTTTTATTTTTATTTTTAAGTGAATTGTACTACCTCTCCCTGTTGAATTAATGTTGTTAGTTAGTAATACTTAGCACTCTTTTCGGATAAATTCATCTTGAATATATTAACTATTTCTTTCTTTTCCGATCGCCTGGAATGGACAAAAGAAACATATTGTTCTTTTCTGTGTCGTATAACAACAATCTTATCCTTCATTCAAAACCAGTCGTATTTCGAATAGCAGGAATAGCATTATATTTAGTATATTAAAAAAATAAGTAAATTTAGTCAGTAAAGGTTAATTAGGGATTTAATTGGTTCATTAGATACCGAGATTTCGTTATTGGGGCAAACAAGAAAGATTAGGGCCAAACACTTGTCAACGGCAATTCTCACCAAAGTTATCTTCGGTTATTATAATTTCCTGTAATTTTTCTCTTTTCCATTTGGAGGCTAAACTCACATTCCCCTTCCAAAAGAGGGGGAAAAGAAAAAATCTCTGAAATTCTTCTGAAGGGGTATGTACATTTTCTGATTTCTTTGCTCAAGGGTAAAGGTAAGTTCCTTCTTTTCTAAGCTCTGAATTTTTTATGTTCTTCATAATCCTTATTTTCGTACGTATTTCGATCATGTCTCTTCTTCGAATCGAAACGGATTTTGAAGCACTCGATAATTTGAACCGAAAAATTATGTTGCAACATGCAACCTCTCGCGTCCTCATCATGGAACGGATGAAAAACATAATAATGAATTCTTTCGGTTCAGGATTTATAGTTGAAAACTTCCTTCACGGAGGAAGATAATAGGCAAGCATTGCGTTTTGAAAAGATTAAAAAAAACCATGTATGACTATTATCTGGCTGGTAGAGGTCATATTTTTCTTTCAAGACTTGTTTTTTTTTCTTTTCTCCTTAATCGTATATCTGAAACATGATGTCGTATATTTTGCTGTGGTTTTTTCATTTTCTGTGGTTATAAATGAAGAATACCGTTGGATTTGCATCTAGTTATTGAAAAGAGAACGTGTGGGTGAACACATTTTTTTTTAACTAATGCTTATTTGTTTTTGTGCATGACAAAAAAAAAAAGAAATCAAAGAAGGTGTAAACTAGGAGAAGAAAATGATGAGGGGGCTGCTTTTTGTTCTACTGCTGATCCATGCAAGTTCAGCTGCCAAGGATGAGAATGTGGCCCCATGGCTAACCCTAAACGGTGAGAAATTAAACCACGTTTTATCTTTTGACCTATTTCTCTCGTATCGAAATTTCAGTCTTTTGATAACAACGACGACGAGGAATTGAACGTTACGTTATCCTCGTCCATGAATGTTCAGGAAAGGCGCCGACGGTGGTCGGTCGAGAAGGTTTCTCAGGGCAGTTCCCCGAAGACACGGACCTGGCGCTCGCACCAAGTTCATACGACGGTAATCTTATGCTTTGCAGCGTACAGCTAACGATGGACGGCGAAGCAATTTGCCAGCCAAATGTGGATATCAGCAAATCCACCAACGTACAAGAAATCCACCCAAACAAAACCAAAACTTACAACGTCAACGGCAAGAACGTCACCGGTTACTTCACCATCGACTACACCATTGTTGAGCTCGTAGAGAAGATAACCGGTGATTTGCTCGAGAATCATTTACGATTTACTTTGAAATTTTTACGTCGAATCTAGCATACACCCATTGTGTGATCATATGCTATATCTCGTTGTGTTGGACAAATGGTGGCTCTATCTGACTCTTGGCTTCCTCTCTTCCTTGTCCTGCAGGGGTTCAGAGCACCTGGACTCGGTCAGATGGATTCGACGGCTACAATATCGCGCCGTTTAAGCGCGGCAACGAGGGCGAGTTCATGGTGTCGAATCTGTGGATCAATGTTCCGGTACTGTCTGAAAAATGAGTACATGATGATGCAATTGCAGATTCACTGGTTTTGTGCTCCTATTTATTTCGCCCCCGGGTTTTGGTCTTTCAGTATGCTCAATTCTACTCGGAAAACAAGATGAACATGGAGGATTACATTCGCCAAGTCCCTCTGACCGAAAACCACTGCCTCTCCTCGCCGGAGATCGGTTTCCTGAAAGCAATCAGCGGCAGAAAGGTCAAGAACCTGAAGCTCTATTTCGCCTTTCAGGACAAGGACGAAGTGGAACCCACGACCCAGAAGAAGTACGGCTCGATCGCGTCGGACCTGGCCGCGCTGAAGCCCATGGTGGCCGGAATCGTCGTCCCAAAGGAGTACATATGGCCGGTAGACGACTCCAACTACTTGGTCGCAAAGCCGACGACTCTCGTCACCGACGCTCATAAGCTCGGCCTCGAAGTTTACGTTTCCGGGTTCGCAAACGACAATGTGCTCCCCTACAACTACAGCTACGACCCAACCGCAGAGTACCTCAACTTCATCAGCAACGGACAGTTCTCCGTCGACGGATTGATCACCGATTTCCCACCCACCGCGACGGATGCCATGAGTAAGATTTGCCTCTCTGTATTATGTCATTTGATCCATCTTTCTCCGTTTGCTGACAACACTTCCTTTCATGGCGCAGTGTGTTTTGCGCCGTTCAACGATAACCGGACGAAAGGAGGTTAGAGATATTCTTCCCTGTAATCTTTAAACCATACTCGATATGCATAAATGCCTGCAAGATCAACTAACCAACCATATTATACACACACATCTCTTTACCATGGCAGAACAACCTCTGATCATAACACGCGGGGGAGCCAGCGGAATCTACGCGGATAGCACCGACCTCGCGTACCAACAAGCGCTGGACGATGAGGCGGATGTGATCGACTGCAGCGTTCAAATGTCGCAAGATGGAGTTGCTTTCTGTATGCTTACTCCAGACCTCTCTACGAGTACCAACGCAGCAGCCATCTTCATGGATCGTAGTAGTGATGTCAAAGAAATCCAGATTGATTCAGGAATCTTCTCTTTCGACTTGACGTGGGAAGAGATTCAGACGTTACAACGTAAGACCAGCAACATTGTTTCTACTGGGTTTCCCCAGCTTCTTGATCAACCCTTTCTGATCTTGTTTAGCTTAACCATGGATGTTTCGTTTTTGCAGCTCAATTGACCAGCCCTTTCGAGAAATTCATCGGCCTGTACAGAAACCCTGCGTTCAAGAACAAGGGGAAGTTTGTAACCCTTGCTCAGTTCCTGGAGTTTGCCAGATCGAAAGCGGTTACCGGCATTATGATCAACTTAGATGTAAGTGATACACATCATGCTAAAAGAAAATTTTCTTATTTGGGAACATTAACATCATAGGATTTTACGATTCTGCAATTCTATGTAGAATATAGCAGATTGACTAACTTCATACTTAACACACAATTTGTCTCTCACAGAACGTGCCATACCTTGCATCAAAAGGTCTCGACATCATCACCACTGTCACCACAGCCTTAGCCAAGAACCAGTACGACAAGAAGGCGAGTCCACAGGTCCTGGTGCAATCCGACGACACGTCCGTGCTAGACAAATTCAAGAACGTCCCGTCCTACAAGAGGATACTCAACATCAAGGAAGACATCAGCAGCGTGCCCAAGGCTGCTGCAGAGGAGATCAAGAAGCACGCCGACGGAGTCACCTTGACGAGGTACTCGATCATCGCCACCGACCTGCTAGGCTTCACGACAGCGAAAAGAAAGACCGTGGAGACCCTCCAAGGCCTGAACCTGACGGTCTACGTCTCCAGCCTGGCCAACGAGTACGTCTCGCTAGCATTCGATTACTACGCAGACCCGGTGATAGAGATCGCCACGTACACACACACGATCGGTGTCAACGGGTTCATCACCGAGTTCCCCAAGACCGCCAGCAGATACCAGAGTAAGCATTTCTTTCACTCACCATATCAAGTGCCCTGCGAAATGTGATAAACAAACATCGTATGTGAACATGGTTATGGTTCTTACCCGATCATTATGATCCAGGAAGCGCTTGCTCCGACGTCAACGATTTGAAGCGCAACTACACCATCCTCCCAATCGAGCCAGGAGCTCTGGTGAACTTTACTAGTCGTCCACCACCAAAAGCAGCAGATCCTCCAACACCAGCTCTCACCTTACAAGAAGTCGTCGACCCACCATTGCCCAAAGTAGCCAAACCACAATCCCCTCCGAAGCCCACGCAAGAAGCACCTGCTCCATCTTCTTCTGCACCTGCCGGACTCCACTCAACAGCTGCAGCTGTCGCCGCCGCCGCCGCCGCCGCAGTGGCGCTGCTCAGCTTACTACTCACTGCGGGATACAATTAGGGGGGCCTTAAACCAACCAAAATATCATGTTTTCCCCCCTTACAACCTCTTGTGGCCTCCTCCTCCCCTGTAAACGAGAATTTGCAGCAATAATTAAACATTTCTAAATCATAATTAGAAAAGAACTAACTTCAGTACGAACATAAGGGTTTCTTCCCTTTGCATTTGGGGTTTTCACAATTGTGCAAAATTGAAGGGAAAAAGGCATAGGCGGAGGCTCGGATTCGCCTTCAATCAGACAGAAACAAAGTGAGTGGGACGGAGAAGCGGGGAAATCAAACCAGCTGCCGTGGCTGCAACAGAAAGGAGGAGCGAGCAGTGAAAATCCCCTAGGGATTTGATTTCACAGACGCTTCACGATCCGCAAAATGTTGCCGGGCCAGGTAACTGATTCAGCCGCCGGCGCTTCTCCTCTCGGAAAAAAGTCTGCCTCGGTGAAACCACCGCGAAATTTCGTCACAGCATCCATTGAAGAGAGAGAGAGAGAGAGAGAGAGAGAGAGAGAGAGAGAGAGAGAGAGAGAGGGAGAGAGAGACCGAAGGGTTGAGCAAGTTCGGGATCTTCGAGTAAACATAACTGAAAACGAGTGAGAGGGAGAGGGAATGATATATCTTTCTGTGTGTTTGTGCTGCGACGGGGAGCAGGGACGGCGCGGCGGATTCAATAACCGGCAGAGAGAAATCACCGGCTTCGCTGACGATAAGCGAGAGAGAGAGAGAGAGAGTAGATTGACGATTGGAAGCAATCGTTCGCCGGAGTCCATTCCGCCGACGAGTCTCAAACTCTCGGTTGAGAGCAAATGCCTCATACTGAGTCATACAAATGAGAATCCGGCGGAGTCGATTTCTCAATTTGCCGGCGGTTAAGAAACAACGGAAGAGTTGACTCCGAGTCGTTAGCAGGCTTTCAATTTTCCCGGAATTGCCCTTTCGAGGGTTCCTTTGGGCTTCCGGCCTGGCAACACGCTTATACAGTGCCCAGTAGGCCCATATCAAGGTTGAGTGGGTGTAAATTCTGTAGGGCCCACTCGCACAAATTGGCCTGGCCCACAGGGTAGTGTCGTGTCCGCGGATCCCACCAATCACTGCCGTCCAGCTAAGCCGCACTGGCAAGTGATAGGCTAGATACGGCCGCACCTGATCCCTCCACGCGGGATTCTCCGCCATCGGAACCGAAAACAAGACTGTTGTTAGACGAAAACGAGAAAGGAAAGTAGGAAAAGAATTGACGAAAACGCTTTCTAGAGGGGAACAGAGAGCTTCTCTTTGTCTTCTAGAGAGAGAAAGTAGAAGGAGGAGGAATCAACAACCTTTGTGTAGACCGACGACGCCGGCGGAGGGAAAGAGGCGACCGTGAAGAGAGAGGGATGAAGATCACGGCGCTTTTGGTATTGAAGTGCGAGTCGGAATCGTCGGATCCGGTCATCTTAGCGAACGCCTCCGACGTCAGCCACTTCGGGTACTTCCAGAGGCCCAGCGTCAGGGAGTTCATCGTCTTCGTCGGCCGGACCGTCGCCAGGCGCACGCCGTCCGGACAGCGTCAGTCCGTTCAGCATGAAGGTAGAACCTCGAATCTTCGCTAGTCAGCTTTCTGAGTTTCGTCTCCGCGCTTCCCGGAATTTCGATTCTAGGTTTTTGGTTTTCAGTTTTGATCTTGTGAGTAACGGTGTCGACTGTGAGGTTAATTCGAGGATTCCTTAGTTTAGTCGTCGGTTTGATTTTGCGGTGGGGGGTTTTGCCGAGTTAGATTTTGATCGAGCTTCGATTTTTTTAGCTGGTTGAGATGCTTGATGATTGCTTCATCCAGTTGTAGATTTGAATCTTCTGTTGTTGAATTCCGCGGAGTTCTAGTCGTGCAGACTTGCTTCTTTCTTGAGATCGGTCATCTTCCTTGGTAGTTGATAAGAGTTACTTGGTTGGTTGCAGAGTATAAGGTCCATGCGTACAACAGGAATGGACTTTGTGCTGTGGGATTCATGGATGATCACTACCCCGTTCGTAGCTCATTTTCCCTTCTCAATCAGGTACTGGTACATCCGATTTCGTATTATGTTGTAACTTGAGTGGCATTGATGTTGTTATGCATAGCAGAGGGCGGAGGCAGAGTTGGAATCCAAGGGTTTATTGATGTGCTGCGCGTCTCATTTCTAGTTCTGGTCGAGGGATGCGATTTGCTGCTTAGGTGGTCGATGAGTAAGGCATTCATTTATAATATGTTAAATTTACGTGTTTTTAGGTGATCGATGAGTATCAAAAGAATTTCGGCGAGTCGTGGAGGTCAGCACAGACAGATAGCACCCAGACTTGGCAATACTTGAATGAAGCTTTGGTTAAGTTCCAGGTAACTGTACTTTCTTCCCAGACTCGATAACTACTGTTCTGTACTTTGTATATTATACTTTTGAACCTCTGAAGCATGCTTATGGCTTCACTGGTATGTGGAAAATGTTCGCAAGAATGTCTGACTTCTATTGTTTGCATGATGCCCTTATTATTTCAGGATCCTGCTGAGGCTGACAAGTTGTTGAGAATTCAGAGGGAGTTGGATGAGACTAAAATTATACTTGTGAGTTGGACGAGACTTGTCTTCCTGATGAAGTAATTTTGTTCAGATATGTCTTCCAAATGTATTATCATCCCCATACCAATCTTATCATTCAACTTAGCAAACGTATCGTCTGCTGTTTTCCTTTGGAGCGACTTGCCTTCATCACTCAACTCCTCTATCTTATGTTGATGGTCGAACATGTCTGCTTATCTCTGGTCTCTGACATGGTCTATATCATTGTTGCGTTTATTCCAGCACAAAACAATCGACAGTGTACTCGCCCGAGGTGAAAAACTGGATAGTTTAGTTGAAAAAAGTTCAGATCTCAGTGCTGCATCTCAGGTAACATATCCTACCAAACTGCATCCCATATGCTTTTTCAGTCTTATGAAACCTTAACATATGTAAAGCCAAAACTTAGTTTTAGTATCGCCTTTTAACGCGTACTGCGTTTTTAGTGGTAACACGAACATGATGTGCCCTTGTGTCGCAGCAGTTGATGCTGCAATTAGTTTCCTCCAATCTGTCGATAGTCGTTCCTGACATCTTATATTCTCCTTCTTGATGGGCAGATGTTCTACAAGCAGGCCAAGAAAACCAATTCATGTTGTACCATACTCTAAACAGAACAGCGCAGGCAGAAGACGTGAGAATATATGATGACGATGACGACGACGATGTAATGGTTGAAGCTTCTGGAGGGGAGCAAAGTATCAGTTTGAAGCTTGTGTTGAAGGATTTGATTGTAATATGTCGATTGATAATGTCCATCTTTATAAAAATTTGTTTCTGGTGTCGTGTGGGAAAAGCAGGATCTGAGACCATGTTGCTTTCGTTGTCTATTTGTGTTAATCGATCACTCTCCTTTGTAGTTTTCTTTGTACTTCCATGTATGACATTGTACAACAGACACTTGCCCCTCCTATTGTCCCCTTAACACAACCCACGTTTCCACTTCGGGCTCTTCGATAGACCGTACAAGTGACGTCATTTTGGTACACGGGTTGAAGTCCAGTTTGATCTCGTATTGATTTTCTGAATTCGAGATCGTATTCGACCCGATCATATCTGATCCATATAGAAGGCGATAATAACTACATAAAAGGAGAGATCAAATCATATTGGATTGGATGGAGCTAAATTACGGGATTTTAGATGAGTAGTAGATTGGAGATTTATAGCGCGTCAAAGAAGGGTAAAAAGGGATGAGATAGCATGCCTGCCCATAAAAGGGTTGGAAAAATGACACCCCCTATTAATTATAGGTTTTTAAGGTAATTAATTTGTGTTGCATTTAATAATCTGTATAAATTAAAAACACATATTAATTACTTCCCTTTTTTCAGTGCACTGGTAGTTGTATCAGTGCACTGGTAATTGTGTACAGGTGCAATGGTAGTTCCAAAAAAGGAACGTAATTAATACGAGTTCAGTATACAGGTGCAATGGTAGTTGTATCAGTACAATGGTAGTTAAAAAAAAGGAATGTAATTAAGATGAGTTTTTAATTTCCAAATATTATTAAATGCAACACGAATTTAATACAAAAATAACTATAATTAATAGGGGTGTCATTTTTCCAACCCCTTAGAAGGGTTAGCATGCTAACCGATCCCGGGTAAAAATAAAGGGGTTAATTGCATGGTTGGTCACTGATATTACAAAAAATGTTCATGTTCGGTCACTGGAAATATTTAAATCCAATCTTAGTCACTCAAATTAGTTAAATAGTTCAAGTTTGGTCACTCTTCGTCCAACTCCGTTAAATTTGTTTGATGTGGCAGTCAACTCTTAAAGTTGACCATTAACTCGGTGACGTGGCAATTAAAAAATAATAAATAAAACAAATTTTAATCTCCTACCATTTTCAAATCATTTTCACAATAAAATAAAATAAAATAAATCATAATTACAAATTGAAAAGGGGGCGGCTGTCTGCACCGACCGAGTTCACTTCACTCAGCTAGTCGAACACCAATGCAGCCATCAATTAATTAATTAATTGATATATACGTATAACATAGTAATCAAGTAGTGAGGAAGAGAAGCCATCGATTAATTAATTAACGGGTAGAGGTTTTGATTTAACATACCTGATGACCTGAGAATCGAATCCGGAGAGGTTGGCTACCTCACTCAATGCAGCTCTCCATCTTCGAATTCTCCCAGCAGTAGAAGAGGGCAATTTCTGGTTTTCGACCTCAGAAGGGCCGACGACTATGCAATTGACCCCTTTATTTTTTACCCTTCTTTGGCGCGCTATAAATCTCCAATCTACTACTCATCTAAAATCCCGTAAATTAACTCCATCCAATTCGATATGATATTATTTCTCCTTTTATATAGTTATCGCCTTCTATATGTTAGATAAGTGAGTCACGTGAGCAAGCACGAGTAAGTCCAAGTAGTTAAGTGATTAGCTTGCAGACTCTTGTGTTTACTGGGTCTAAGTTTGTTAACTAGTTTAGCTATATTTGTGGGGTGAGGGTTAGTGCATAGGCGGAGGCAGGGGCATTAGCCCTTGTCACGGGACAGGGGCAAATTTCGGAGTGGAAAAAAATACCCATATATATTTATATTGATGATGAAACAAATAATTAAAGGTGGTATTATAGTATTTTATCAGTACAACACAACTTATTAGTGGTTCATAAACTTATATAAACTTAATTTATTATACTATAAACGAACTTTTAATTGCAATAAAGACCTAATAAAATCATTTTTCTCCTTATGTCTATTCATTTTTCCCAACAATCCTGAAATTTTTCAGCGACAATGACAATTCCACTAGTTTTGATTCTACCAATTTACAACTATAAGTGCAGAAAGAACATTTTCAGCTTTGAATTATATTAAGAACAAGTTTTGAAGTCGAATTGGCGACTAGTTTGCTAATGATTGTTTAGTGTGATACATTAAAAGAGACATATTTAACATTGTAGACAACAAATGTTTTTGTGTTTTTTTCACAATATGAAATTCCGTTGTGGTTGCTTATGAAAACAGTGATTTTATTAGTCGATTATTTTTTATATGTGAATGAATTATTTGGATATAATTGGTTTTAATTTTATTTATTAAATATTTATTAATTAAATATTTATATATTTATATTATTAAAAGATGACAGGGGTAGTTTCGAATCCTGCCTCCGCCACTGGGTTAGTGGTAAACATAGAGATTCCGAGAGTGATGGGAGTGGGAAGTAAGTGCTCTGTATATATACTTCGAATTAGTGTTGAATAAAGATTGTCAGTTTGCAGCTATTTGGTTTCTACATGTGGTATCAGAGCCGATAGCAAACTGTAACCACGTTTGTAAGAGTGTGATTGAGTGCATGTGATCTTCACGCTGGGTTTAGGGAAATACAAGAGCATTGTTGAGATCTGTCCTTGTGAGGTGAGAGAAATACGAGTGATTAAGAGGTGAAATCCAACTGCCTGTGTTGAGTTGCGAAGAAGAAAATCATGGTTGAGGACGACAGCTTTACCCAAATTTGCATACCCAGGTTTGATGGTGACTATGACCATTGGAGTATGCTGATGGAGAACTTGTTAAGATCTGAAGAATGCTGGAGTGTTGTTTGTGATGGGATCAAGGAAACTGGTGCAGAGATGGAGTCTGCAACTCACGCCAAAGCCTTGGAAGAATCCCGATTGAAAGACTACAAGGTTAAAAACTACTTGTTCTATTCAATCGACAAGACCATCTTGAGAACAATCTCACAAAAGTCCACAGCAAAAGAGCTCTGGGATAGCATGAAGATTAAATTTAAGGGCAGCACTAGGGTTCAGAGAGTTCGACTGCAGTCTCTTCGAAGGGATTTTGAATTGTTGAAAATGCAAGATGGTGAGGTTGTGGCTGATTATTTCGGAAGGGTGTTGGCGGTGGCCAATACCATGAGAAATCATGGTGAATCTATGCCTGATGTCAAAATAGTTGAGAAAATCCTGAGAACACTGACTAAGAAGTTCAATTACATAGTTTGCGCCATTGAAGAATCTAAGGATATAGACTCTCTTTCTGTCGATGCTCTTCAAAGTTCACTGATAGTTCATGAGCAAAAATTCAGCAAACGCTTGGTTCAGAATGATGAGGCCCTGAATGTGTTTCACAAACGTCGAGTAAGAGGTGGAAGGACCTGGGATCGTGCACTAGTGGTATGCTATAAATGTCACAAGTTCGGCCATTTTAGAAATAAATGTCCAGATTGGTATCGACGAGACTACTTTTCAAGTGTACCAGCAAGGTCTTGCGACAGGAATCTTGGGGATAAGACGGAAGCCATGTTATTGATGGCTATTGTAGACAAAGAAGAACAAAAAGGGAATATGATCCATCATAAACAACAAGCGTGGTTCTTAGAAACAATCAAGGAGATTGAAAAGAAATCTCAGGTTCTATTGGAAACACAGAAGTCTCTTGAACCAGCGACCACAACTCACAGACTAGCAGCAGATGTGCCAGCTGCAGAAGGAGAGGAAAATAATGTATCTAACATAGAGAAAGAGAGCTGTGAACTTAAGCACAATTCTCTTGAACCAGAGTTCGAAGTTAATGAATCAGCAATAGTGGTACCAGCTGCAGAAGGAGGGGAAGATAAGATATATAAGATGAAGAAAACAAGCTGTGAACATGAGCAAAAATCCAAGGTACCGAGTAACAGAATTGACAGGTACTTCTGGCAAACTGGATCTTTCGAATGTCCCTATGAACATACAGTATTTGTTGAAGAAGTGAATGATTTGATTACCGTTAGCTTGTATGTGAATGGTATGATGTATGCAAGTAGTGCTGGAATTTTGATTGAGGGTTGCAAAACTTTCATGCAAGTTATGTTTGAGGTGACCATTCTAGGAAGCTACTTACAACTTCCTTCCATATCAACAACTGGCATTGATCAGGAAGAGGATTCTGAAGTTTATGAGGATTTGGGCCCTAAAATAAAAAGGAAGTTTGGTTACATGGATATATGTGAGAATCATCTGTTTGCATATGTTTATAATCCTCCACGTTGTGCAGAGGTAGTGAAATTGCAGCCACAAATCCTTGTGGCTGCAGGGGAGGAAAAGAAACATACAGAGAAGATTGTTGGGTGGTTCCAAGTCATCTACAACATGTTTGGCTCCATATCTCCTAGAGTTGAGCTTTCATTGGTTGAAGACCAAGTGAATGCAACTAAGTATGTTAATGTACTTATTGCAGCAAGTTCCGTCATCTGTGTAGTTGATTTTGCAACTGGTTTGTTAGCTGACTTTGCAGCTAGTTTGTTCTATTTCTCGAAAGTTAAGAAGAAGCTAAATGCAACTGGTTTGTTCAAGTGGTTAATGGAGGTTGGTTTGATGAACTTTGCAGCTGGTTTTGCAGCTAGTTTAATCAGTTTCAAAGCTGGTTTTACAGCAGGTTATATGAGTAACAGAAGAAGCATGAATGATTGTGTATTCCAAAAAGTAAGAAGAGCTGTATCCAGGGTTTACAGGAAACTGCCAGTGGTTGATTGGATCATAGCTGCAGCAAAATTAGTAGCCACTACTTATTATGAATCATATCGCATATGGCTCAGAATGTTTCTAGAGAAAATGGGTTGGCAAGACAATTTGATCAAAGGAAACGAGACCATGTGTGACGTCTACTCAATCGCTAAGCTATCATTCGATGAACATGGAATTCTGGTGAATTTAAGCAACATGGATGTTGTCTATGCAAAGCAACCACAAGATTTTGTGTACAGACTGAGGAAAGCTTTGAATGGTTTGATGCTGGTTGAAAGGGCATGGAACAATAAGATTAAGAATGGTCAGAGGTTGATTGAAATGAGTGAACTTGAGATAACGAGATACTTTCTGGTAGTGAATGCAACTCGGTGTAAGCATCAAGCTCGTAGTTTGTTGTACATCACTGTCACAAAACTTGATGCTGGTTTTGGGGAGGAAAAGGAACAACCAGCAGTGACTTGGGGTACCACAAAAGCAAGTATAACAACAATAGCTCATTGTT